CGACAAAGTACCTAAACAAAAATCCTTCTTGCATAATGGTCATCAAGAAATAGGGAAGTATTGCCAATAGAATTGTTAATCATACTTGTATAGGGTACATCCTTTTACATTGGATAAACTATAATCTTCCTCGCTTCTATACAATTCTAAATCAAAACATTAATGTCAAATCTTAACCAAAAAACAAACCATACTATTTCAAATGAATAGTGAAATCTTCATCACACCACATACTGCGATGTTACCAATCTCATCAACTAACTACTGCATTCACAAACCTATTAGTCAAGCCCCTAGTTGCTCCATTTACATGACTGACTATCTTAACTGAAACAATGGACAAAAAGTACTTTGGACACCGAATAAGTAATTGCTTGAGAGGCAGCACTCAAGGTGAAATTCACTANACGGACGAAAAGTACTTTGGACACCGAATAAGTAATTGCTTGGCAGCACTCAAGGTGAAATTCACTACCGAGGTCCAAGTCCTCCATCTCATTTGGTTGGCCCATTGTTCAAATCCTCTTGTATCTCTAGTGATTTTAAGTTCACGTAAACGTACTTGAGTAATAAAAGGAAGCCCATCATTATTGGTGATTAAGTTTCTGCAAAGAAAAGAAAGGTTTTGCCCTAGGCACAAAGCAATAATCTGCTGCCACGGCAAATAAATCAATTAGCGCTTAACCGAGGAATGACATTTTCATTGAAGAAAAAACAACTTTGAAGGCAGCAGATGCCGATNCATACTTGAGTAATAAAAGGAAGCCCATCATTATTGGTGATTAAGTTTCTGCAAAGAAAAGAAAGGTTTTGCCCAAGGCACAAAGCAATAATCTGCTGCCTCGGCAAATAAATCAATTAGCGCTTAACCGAGGAATGACATTTTCATTGAAGAAAAAACAACTTTGAAGGCAGCAGATGCCGATTTCAAAGGAAATTGAAGTAACTTTCGAACCTACACTTACTTTCCGAAAACATCTTATGAACCTGTTGGTAGAAATTAATATTCTTCGATCATCGTATTGACGATTTGGGACCTATTTTGTCTGGGATGACAACAATAAATTTTTCATATAGGTCTCTTGCCTTGAGCAAAAAGTTCATTACTTAACCCAAGTCAAAGATCTACAAAAGGTGGAAAGCTAAGATAGCATGATGATGACCTCGATTCCGCTCCTGCTTCAATCGCTTTCATCTTCCTTATGGCTTCGATAATGAGTTGATAAAAAATGGGAATTGAGAGAGATGGATAGTAAATGAGAATTGAGGAAGAGAGATAGAGAGAGAATAAATTTAAAAAAAAAAAGGAAACCAAACGACACTCAAATATTAGTGCTATTATCACCGATGATGATCCCGCTCCCACTTCGAGCACTTTCATCTTCCTTGTGGGTTTGTTAATGGGATGATGAAAAAGGAGAATTAATAGGGTAGTAAATGAGAGAGAGAGAAAGAGAGAGTAAACCAAACAATGCTCAAGAGTAAACAAAAGGGTGCTCAAATGTTCATGTCATTAATGGAAATTTAGGCAAAAATTGAGATTATATAATTGTTGAAGGGTAAATAAGGCAATCAAAAGTTTTTTGCTTTAACTATTTTTTAGAAGTAGTATAGATAAATAATGGATAGTTAGTGGGAAATTAGATTAGTTATTACTGATGTATGCTAGAATATAATTGATTTTTCTTAGTTTTAATTTAATAATTTAAATTTTGAAAAAGTTAAAAAGTATAAAAAGAAGGTCTCCCATGGCTTATTCCACCTAATTTATTTGTTATAATAATATAAATAAACTAGTTATTCTTTGTGCCTAAAGACACAAAATAATAAAAAAAAATTGTCAATCATAAACATATTTGTATTCATACTCAAAATCAAATCATAAAACATAGAAGAGAGAAAATAAATTTAAGTATTGATTATAATAGGAGGTGAGCAGCAGTAATGATAGTGGGTGGCAGTGGTGGAAGACGGTGATGGTTGTGGTGGTCGACAACGATTGTGGTGATAGTGACAGTCGTGAATGATGGCAGCGGTGGTGGCATGGTGATGACGGTAGTGATGGTGGATAGTGACGATGGTGGTGGTGGTGATGGGTGTGAGTAGTAATGAGCAACGATAAGTACTTGTGTGTAGTCGTGGTGGTGGTGAGTGGTGGCGAATGGGTGGCGACGACTATGAGTGGTGGGTGGTTGTGGTAGTGAGTGACGGTGGGCGGTGGCGATAGGCAGCGGTGGGTGGTGGAATGATGGCAATAGTGGTAATAAATATAAAAATTAAACGATAACGATGGTGAGTGATAGCAGTAGGCAACAGTGGTAGTAATCAGTAGTGGTGGTAATGGTGGCAAAGGTGGTGGTGAGATTGACAATGATGGTGGGAGTGGGGGTGAGGCGATGGTGAGGTACCGACAACAGTGGTGGGGTGACGGCGACACAGTTGATGGTGAAGAGTTTTGTAGAGAAGTGAATTTAAAAAAATAAAAGTTATTTATTTATTTATTTATTTTTACGTTTACTTACTTATTTAAGTGATAAAATTAGTTGTTTCAAACACTACTTTTTTTTTTTAAGTACTTATAAGAAGTCATAAATCATAAAAGTACTTTTAAAAAATTACTCCAAATAAATCTTTAGGGTGTTATTTTCCCTATTAAATTTGAAAATTTAATATTAACTATCAAATTAATTTTAAAAAAAAATTTAAAACAATTTCAACCGTAAAAAACAAAAGTAATTGTTTATGATAAGGATAAAATTTTAGGCATGGGCCACCTACAAGCCCGAAGCCCAAAAGCCAAAAGGAATTGGAAGAAAATCCAGTAGCCCAACATAAAGTGCCTCTGATCAAAAGTTGAAAGAGAAAGGCTCAATGGGCACCCGAGGGGCAATGGCCAAGTCTCGGCCCAATTAGGTGTCAACTAAAGGACAGTCTGAAGAGAATGAATCAGATCTTTGCCTTGGAGTCATCCCGCAATGCCACGCGTTCAGAGGACAGGGGGACCATCTTTAAAACCTGCGAAAGCTACATCCTCCAACACGCAGAAGATAAAAGAGTATAACGCCACAGAGATCGTGGGCGCAGTGACGTCGGCTGGAAAAGGCTTTTGTAGGCCAATAACAGGAGATCCCCACAAGATCGGTAAAAGGTAGAAGAAATCACAAAGAGAGACAACCCATATATAAATAGAATAGTGCCCTACAAAAAGGGCATTCCTGGAGAACATTGATAAACCATGTCCATTCTATAAAAAAACACAAACCCCTGTAAAGGCCCAGCGCCTGAATCCCACCTATATACATCATAACTTTAATATACAATATTAAGAAGCAAGTGACTCCATTATAGTGGATGTATCATCGGTCTACTGACCGGGATGAACCACTTATCTTCTTCTTTTTCTCTTTGATTAGACAATTCAATCTATCAAACCCGTTCTAACACCAGACCCAATAACCTCACATACGTTGGGCTTGGGTTGTAATTTCTGAGACCCCATCAATTTATGTTGTAATTTATTGTATAGATTATTAACTTATTTACTATTAAAGTGTTTAAATTATTCAAAAAGAAAAAAAAGTGAGATAAAAGCAAAACATTAGAAATATATTTTTTTTTTTTATCATGGACATCGAGGTTTGGGAAGATGGGATACTCCAAACTATAAGTTATACATTGTATCATATACCCCATTTAACTTTCTAATTTCATGCTTTTAAACTCGCCCCATTAAACTAACACTCAACTCAATAAAATTTTGTCTCAATATTTTTGAGTTAGTTACATAAATTCCGTTTTGTCATTAAACTCTATTAAAAAATATTTTTAATTAAATTATAAGTTATCGTATCTTTTTTTATTATTTTTGTTTAAAATTAATTTAATTTTTTTCTACCCTTAAATTTATTTTCAATAACTATCGTATCATTCCTTTTCATCGGTGCCGTCTATAAATATGCCAAAATCACCTGAGTCAACTTTTCCTTAACTTATTTACTATATCACTATATGTTTTATCTCTACTTTTTTTATATCCCACATAAACAATTCCCACCCCACTATACCAACATCCTAGTTATACATCATGCTACTCTATTAATGCATTGAATAACTCTTTTTTGTAAATACAATTTTACCAAAGTCTCAAGCTTGTCATTTCCATAGCATTTAAAGTAGAGAAATTTAGAAGTCGGTACAAAAATTTGAACTTAATTGAGCTAAATTACATTAAAAAAATTTATTTGGTCCTAAGTACAATTTTTTGAAAAAAAAAAAAAAACTAAACCGTACTCTCTCTCTCTGTTATTCTCTCACTCCTCTCTTCCCTATTTTCTCTCTATTTCCGTTACTCTATATATCTATACCCTATTCTCTCTCTCTCCCACCTATTTTATCTCACAACTAGTCATAACCCGTGCCTAAAAGCACAATAAAATATAAAATTCGAGCGTTCAAAAAATCGATCTCACTATATTAAATTTTTTTTAAATATATTAACTACAAATTGATTAAATATTAGATAATTAAATATATGATAAAAATGAGTGGTGTGATATTTTTAAGAAGGAAATATATAAATAATTAAATATGTGATAGAAATGATGAATGTGATTTGACGTTTGAGTCTAACAAAAAAAATGATAGGTGATGATTTTAAAAATAAAAATATGATTGAGATAAAATTCAAACAACTCTTGTTTTATTATATAAATTACTCTTCCTATCCGTATTCTTTATATCAATGTTATAACAATACAATTACCCTATAATACACCAATTATTTATGTGTGTTCTAATAAACTAAATAATTACATCAAATAATTACACGAAATTATAATATTATGATCGCAAAACTAATCATTACCAACTGAAAACTTCTTGTTGAATGAAGAAGAGAATAATTTCCATGAGTTTCTGCACTCTAGCACTCCTCCCTTCTCCTGCTCTTTTATATCTCAATTTTCGAACAACAAAAATGTCGGCAGTAAATCAATGGAGATGGAGCAAAAAGCAATCTGAACAGAGAGAAATTAAAGCAGATACCATTTCATTGATAGATCGATCGATAGTTCAAGAAGAAGAAGAGGGGTTAATCTTCGTAGCGGAGCGAACAGCATTCCAAATCTGTCCAAAAGCCCCAGCCACATGAGGAAGAACACCCCCAATCCCGCGAAGAACAGCACCGGAAGCGACTCCGATCGCGAGGCTTTCGGGGTACCCAGGCTTGGAGTCAACTTTCATCTCAAGATTCACCAGGCGAGCGTTAATTACATCCAATTTCCTGGAGATTTCGGCCATGGAATTGCCCTTTTTGTTGCCGTTGCCGCCGTTGTTTTTGCCTCCTCTGTTGGAGGTGACTACCCTGAAGAGCACGTTCTGGAGATCTTCGATGACTTTGACGGAAGCTTCTTGGGTTTCCATGCCCTGAGACTCGTAGTGAGCTATCAGCTCTCTCGCGTTTGGTAGCCTCTTTCTCTTCTGTGTGTTGCCATTCCTTTCCTCTGAAGCTGATGATATTTGAGATTGGTTTGGAGTGGCAGGCTTTTCCATTGATGTCCGTATTGAAGGAAAAGCCAAGCTCCTAACGAAATCCTGAATTTGAGAGAAAGACAAGGGAATAGAAATGGAGAATAATGTTTTTGGGACAAAACTCCTAAAACCCTACAACGGAAATTGGGGTTGGGTTTTAGAGATAAGGTAGAAAGAGGCCAGTGAGGGGCTTTAAAACCCGTCCGGTTTTACTATGCATCCGTCCGACAATTAGTTCGTGGGTTCGAACTTCACTGACTCCTCTGTTATAAACTCTCTTTTAAACTTTGAAATAGTGACAAAAAAAGAAAAAACATATATGGATAAATATCCTTTAACTTAATTTCTTTCAATTATTTTAAATTATTATTTTGATTATTAATAAAGTCATTTCGTCTACTTCACCCGTTAGAACAAATAAAAACACAAAACATGAGTGTGAAATGGATGAAAAGACTTCACTGATACGAAATTGATAGTTGAAAATTTGAATTGAGACAATTGAAAGTTTATAGACTATTTTAAAATAAGGAGCAAAGTTGATGGACTAGTTACGATATTTACCCTCTAAATAATTTGATATTATATTTTGGTCCCTTAGATTACGGGAACTATTATGTTTTTAAAATTGTACCTTCAATTATGTTTACTAGGTTTACATTGTCCAATAATTGACGTCCATTAAAAATTTGGAGAAAAATAGTTTCATTTTACCCTTCAAATGGTGAATTGTATAATTTTATTTTATTTATCACGATATGTTGACGTTTTTTGTTCAAAATATAAAAAAACTATGCATTTAATATAAAATCAATTCAAGTAATTGAGGAGGCAATGCGAGAAATTTAATAATTCAACTGATAAAGTGAGATGAAATTCGGGGCAAAGTATGAGGAATCTCACTGCACACTGAAAAATTTAAAATTTTTCACTTTGTAACTCAAAGATCTGATTTTTTACATTGCATCCTTAGTGTATTAAAAATTTTATAATTTAGCCCTTTCGTTGCTCTTTCGATCAACATCAATGAGGAGGATTTTGACAAAATAAGCAATAAAAAGACTACATTGTAACACTTTTAATACATGAAAGGTACAATGTTAAATATTTAATCTTTAAAAGTGTAAAATATAATTGTTTAAATCTTTCAATATGCAAAGTACAATTCACCTAAAAATATAATTAACCCTTCCTCAATTCACGCATGTATTTTCTTTAATCAACTCGTTTATAATTTAATTCCCATTGGTTGAGAAGCAAGTTCGACAAATCAACTNCACGCATGTATTTTCTTTAATCAACTCGTTTATAATTTAATTCCCATTGGTTGAGAAGCAAGTTCGACAAATCAACTCAATTATTACCCATACCAAACCCACATAAAATAAGTTTTGTGCCGATTTCATGTTAGATTCACGCACAAGTCGTATTAAAGATTACTAGAACTACTAAAACTTAATGAGATGCTCAGCTTGATAGACTGGCTATTCCTAGTGATTTCATTGTAACAAACCACCCCACTGCATTACCAACAATCTTACCCTAATGTTTCCAGTTCTCAAACCTATAGTTTCTAACCCTGCACAACATCATTCAATACTACAGGACCGACCAATATATTATTTGCATCTTTTCTTTGAAATAATAATACCTTCATGCATTTATANTTCTAACCCTGCACAACATCATTCAATACTACAGGACCGACCAATATATTATTTGCATCTTTTCTTTGAAATAATAATACCTTCATGCATTTATATCCCCACCCATGAACTATCATTATCTTTAAATTAAGACTATTTATTATGCTATCATTCTGATATTTGTAATTAAGATAAGATCTAAATCCCCTCTGGTATATTTTTCATTTCTACAATTTCCCTCGATCACATATCAGTCACCGCTAACCAATATGGACCCACTACATATAATGATAAAAGTGGATACCACATCAATACACGGAAAACTATGAAAATTGAGAAAAAAATATATACATACTATGGTTAGAACCTGGATTAGGACATGGCTTTTTCTTTTTCGTGAGCTGAACTGAACTGAACTCATCCATTGAGGAAAACCGCCTGCTTCCCTTGACTCACNAAAGTGGATACCACATCAATACACGGAAAACTATGAAAATTGAGAAAAAAATATATATATACTATGGTTAGAACCTGGATTAGGACATGGCTTTTTCTTTTTCGTGAGCTGAACTGAACTCATCCATTGAGGAAAACCGCCTGCTTCCCTTGACTCACTAGACTGCAAAGCAGGACCTCCCTACTTACTGGCATGATTGCATTGACTTACTTGATTGCCCCTTTTTAGTTACAGAAACCTTGGGCAAAGAGCTTTTCTAAGTTGTCACATCAAACAACAGCAAAATCACATTTCAAAAGGCGAAAAATCGAAGATTACAGATCAAAGATTCAAAAACTGAATTCACATAACAACGATCGAAGATCCAACCCCCAATTTGAAGTCTTGAGACCATTTAATGAATTTGAAGAGAAAATCTTTGATGTAAACTACATCTTTCAACCGCAGCTTAATGTAACCNAAGATCCAACCCCCAATTTGAAGTCTTGAGACCATTTAATGAATTTGAAGAGAAAATTTTTGATGTAAACTATATCTTTCAACCGAAGCTTAATGTAACTNAATTCACATAACAACGATCGAAGATCCAACCCCCAATTTGAAGTCTTGAGACCATTTAATGAATTTGAAGAGAAAATCTTTGATGTAAACTACATCTTTCAACCGCAGCTTAATGTAACCCTCCGGAAATGTTGGGATAGATCTAAGCGTCAACAATCTCTGACTTGAGAGTAAGTGTCAGCCTGGCAAAAGGGTAAGTCTGAAGTGGTGGTTTAGCTAAAGAGAGAACATGCGACACTGTAGTTGCTTAATCTAAACAATCTGTAGTAAATGTGATGGTCATCAATGTTTATACATAAACTAAAGGGAGACTTAGAATTACAATCTCACGGTATATCTAAAATCTTAAGCAACACCTCCTCTTCAAGTTAAGAACAAAAATGGTATAAACTACTAATCTGGNGGTGCTTTAGCTAAAGAGAGAACATGCGACACTGTAGTTGCTTAATCTAAACAATCTGTAGTAAATGTGATGGTCATCAATGTTTATACATAAACTAAAGGGAGACTTGGAATTACAATCTCACGGTATATCTAAAATCTTAAGCAACACCTCCTCTTCAAGTTTAGAACAAAAATGGTATAAACTACTAATCTGGCACCCCCTATTACATCAATATACCCATCTGTGTATAAGCAACACATATAAGATTCAGGGGAATGCATGCCGCAAGTTAAAGAAAACTTGGAGGTATATAGATCTCTCACAGGAAAACAGGAGCCATGACGAGCGTTATAGTTGCAAGCATTTTGATTAGAACATGGAGAGAAGGTCCTGCTGTGTCTTTGAATGGGTCTCCTACACTGCGTATAATTTTTAAGAATCAGAAATAATAGTAAAATAAAATAAAAATATTGACATGTGAAATACTTCAGGTTCTTAGAAAGATCATTAGAAAAGAAAACAAGCCCACACAAGATTATAATTTATTCAATCTTATAGCCGACAAAACAGTCATATAAAGGCTTAAACACCAATGCCAGTAGTCATGCGTGCTTTTGTGTGTGCTATGTGCGCATTTGTTTTTGTGCCTGTGTTCTTTGCCTTTTCTTTCAGAGAGATTTTTAGATTTCTTCATAGATATTTTCTTAAAACCGATGAACTGCTGCTACTGCAAATAATGGAGTTATCTTATTGCAACCAGGAAGACTTACGTGTCACCGGTAATTGCTGCTTTGTGACAGTCACTCCCTTTGCCTCCAAGAGCCCCTGTCTCTATGTACTTCTTCGCATTATCCCAAGCACCACCAGCGGTGTTCAGGAAAAGAGCCATAAGAATACCAGAGACAGTTGCAAACATCAACATGGCAGCCACAACTTTAGCCCCAAGTAGAGGATGCCCCACGTAGTATCCCAAAATCCGGAACACAATACCTGTACAGTGATTTAAGCAGACTTCACTATATGGCAATATGCATTGAAAAACAAAACACAGGAAGCTAAGGCTAAATCAGCATAACAACCACAGCCATCTCCAATACAGGGGCTATTGCTTAGCACGGTGGTAAAAGTTTCAGCCTAACTACCGTGAGGTTTGTAGGTTCAAATATGAGGGCCGCCACTTTATGCAAAGAATGCCATATTTAGATTTCTACTCAGTCCATTTCTCTAAGCACCTGCTGTTAAAGGGACCTAACTAGGAAATGACCCCTGATAATGCTCCAACATAAGGTGCAAAAATTTGCAGATAACTNATGAGGGCCGCCACTTTATGCAAAGAATGCCATATTTAGATTTCTACTCAGCCCATTTCTCTAAGCACCTGCCGTTAAAGGGACCTAACTAGGAAATGACCCCTGATAATGCTCCAACATAAGGTGCAAAAATTTGCAGATAACAGTTCAGATCAGATGTAAAATTAGACTCCTAGGACTAGGAGTCTTCCGGCCAACAAGTTCTCTTCGGTCTACCAGAACGTTCAATAGAAAAATTATTGCAAGTGTAATCTAGGAAACTTGTCCAAGAATATTGTGGCTTGACAACAACATAAAATTTATGGCAGAGTATTTCAGAAAATCAGTATCTATCAAGAATCATGCTTAAGTTATCAGAACATTCCTCAGTAATAGTGCTCGGCTAGAACAACTTGATTTTGACAAGAAATAAGAACGTCATAGAAAGATGTGTAAAACACACTACAGCTGTTGTCAGGCTGGTACTCTGACACTTTTCACATAGACACTGTCTATCATTGACAGCAGTCTGACTTTGCAGCATGGCTTCAACCACACGAGTCCATGACCAGAAAGCAGTACTCCCAAAAACCAAATGACACAGCATTAGTCAGAACTANGTAAAACACACTACAGCTGTTGTCAGGCTGGTACTCTGACACTTTTCACATAGACACCGTCTATCATTGACAGCAGTCTGACTTTGCAGCATGGCTTCAACCACATGAGTCCATGACCAGAAAGCAGTACTCCCAAAAACCAAATAACACAGCATTAGTCAGAACTGGAGCCCAATAAGCTTTTATGACTCTGAACAAATATCATCCTCATATTCAATGCATAACTACATATCATCAATGCTAACATCAAGCATCAAGCACGTTGGCTTTCTCATTTTCCACATCACAAGGCACATTCTACAACCCAATTGAGCAATAATTAAAATAAAACGCCACAGAAAAAGCATAGAATAGATAACCCACCAACAACTATAGGTGATATGATAGCCAAAGCTCCAGGTTTTATCATCTCCCTCAAAGATGCAGAAGCGACAATGGCTACACATCGACCATAATCTGGTTTTTCCTTGTAGTCCTGTGGAGATTATGATGAACAAGGTCGGTCAGACATTATCAGAACCCAGTTTTATACTTTAACAAAGGAGCAACTGAGTGAATAATACCTACCATGATACCAGGTCTCTCAATAAACTGTCTTCTTACTTCCTTAACCACCTCTTGAGCAGTTCGACCAACTGCAGCACAGGCCCATGCACTAAATAGGTATATTAGCATAGAGCCCAACAATCCACCTACAAATACTTCAGGAATGGCAATGTCAACCTGTACATCATTGCAGTTCAAACTAAGATACAGAATGCAAATGCATAACAATAGTGAGGATAAANAGGAATGGCAATGTCAACCTGTACATCATTGCAGTTCAAACTAAGATACAGAATGCATATGCATAACAATAGTGAGGATACNTTAGCATAGAGCCCAACAATCCACCTACAAATACTTCAGGAATGGCAATGTCAACCTGTACATCATTGCAGTTCAAACTAAGATACAGAATGCAAATGCATAACAATAGTGAGGATAAAAACCAAAGTGGAAGGATAGTACATGCCTACCTGGTGAAATGGCGCTTGAGCAAATGCAGCTACCTCATCCATATAAGCACTGAACAGAAGGAAAGATGCAAGTGCAGCAGATCCGATGGCAAATCCTTTAGTGGTAGCTTTTGTTGTATTCCCAACAGCATCAAGAACATCAGTAATCTCCCGAACACTTTCAGGCTGTAAGCATCATATGTTAATCACAAGACTCATTAGTAAAGAAACTAAAAATAAAAATTCTCCCTCTTTGATTAGCCCAAAATTTTTCTACAATCTGCAGCATTACCTGCTGACTCATCTCAACAATTCCACCGGCATTATCAGCTATTGGACCAAACATATCCATGGTGAGAACATAAGCTGCAGTGCTAAGCATTCCCATGGTAGCTACAGCTGTGCCAAACAACCCACCAGTTGGATTTCCAGTTTCATCAACCAATCCTGAAGTATTACCCAGCCAGAAAGCTGAAACAATAGCTATGCTTATGACAAGGACAGGAAGAGCAGTGGACTCCAGACCCAAACTGATGCCAGCAATAATGTTAGTCCCATGTCCTGTGGAGCTAGAAAGAGCTAATGTGCGTACAGGCTCGTGTTTGTAGTCGGTGTAGTACTTGGTGATCCAGACGAAAGCATACGCTGTCATGATTCCAACCAAACCACATAAAGCGAAGTTCAACCAGGCAGAAGGCGCTTGTTCGGTGTATAGCATCCATCGCGTAGACTGCCAAGGTTAAAGGCAAAGAACCAAGAAAACAGGTAAGAAATTTTTTTTCAATAAGAAGCGTCAATATTCTTTATAATAAAAATAAAAAAGTGTTACAAGAACCAAATAAGATGGACAAATCGTCCACCCCTAACGATTGTAAAGACCAGAACAAGAAACATAATCAATAGTAGTAATGGCAGATTACAGCCCACACAATGCTGTCCAACTTGCCGTGATACTAAACAGGGGTACATCTTCAAACTCCTTAGTCACGGATGCCCAAAAAGAGGCCAAGAAAAAAAGTCGACTCCAAAACCCATCAACTTCCTCCGTTTATCTTAAAAAATCTTTGCATTTCTCTCTATCCATAAAACCCAAATAGTGGCAAAAACGGCACAATGCCAAAGAGTTTTCTTTTTTTTGCTTCCTCCCAAACCTCGAAAATCCAAATAAAACATAGATGACATAGAAAACTCATCTTTTAATATATGAGAGAGAGAGAGAGAGAGGGAGAGGGTAAGGGAGAGAGATACTGATACATTACAACTGCAATCAGCAATAGAAGATAACATTACCACACCAAATGTCACAACAGCTAGAAATATTGTAACAGAATATCCTTTCTGAAGAATCGTCATTGGATCTTCCATAGCAGCAATTATACCGGTGTCGCGTGTGCCCCGTATTGAAATTATTCCAATGGATGATATCACCAGGTCAAATGAGTGAACAACAAGAGGAAACAAAATGAATCCGGATGGATCTGCATAAAAGAAATCAATATCAAAAGGCATGAATTGAAGGAATTGTGAATATGTATGTGAAACATCATATAATGCAAGGCTGCCTCAAACATTAGGAGCCAGTTGAGTTCAACACAATCTCACAGCAAAGGAGATCAACAAATTAATATCACAAACCGTCATTCCCAATAAAACCAAATTATATTTTGTTTCTTTAGTTAGCCACCAGAGTCAGGGTTTTTTCCTTGGGGGTGCATCATGTATGTATTTCTTTGCTTAAGAGATTCCTGAGACATGGTAAACTAGACCTAGTGCATAAACCAAAGTAAAACCACATGTCGGGAAAATCAAATAGAGATTACTTTTATGGGTTTGTGTTGGGTACTAGTCCACCTGAACCCAACCCATTTAATTAATTATGTCGTGGCGATCCGACCTATTTATTTTCGTGTCGTGTTCATATTAACCCATATAAACCGTGAATCAAAAATTTAACACTAAGATTTAAGTCTAATACTACATTATCTCTAAATCGAACTCACTCATATTTTTTTTTACGAACTAAAAAATAACTTAATAAATATAATAATATAAATAAGTAAAAAATCCTCTTTATGTATAAGGATTATGTCAATGCTTGAGAAAAAATAATAAAAATTTGGCATTTTATTTCTATAATACTAGTTAAATGTGTTAATCGTGTCAATTTCATGTTATTCATGATTGACACTAACTCGACCCATTTATTATTCGTATTAACAGGTTGTGTAATTTACAGATTTGTGTCAAGAAATGGTCAACTCTAACCCGTTAATTTCGTATTGGTTTCCGGTCATGTCAGAAATTGACAACCTGAGGGAAAGGGAATTGCACAAANTTATTTCTATAATACTAGTTAAATGTGTTAATCGTGTCAATTTCATGTTATTCATGACTGACACTAACTCGACCCATTTATTATTCGTATTAACAGGTCGTGTCATTTACGGATTTGTGTCAAGAAATGGTCAACTCTAACCCGTTAATTTCGTATTGGTTTCCGGTCGTGTCAGAAATTGACAACCTGAGGGAAAGGGAATTGCACAAGGTGGTTATCAATCAGTTAAGTAATATGAGAATACAGAATTCTAAATGTAATTCCATACAGGCAAGACAAGGTATGCTCATGGTAATTAACACATCAAAGAGGTACATGTATTGCACATTCTATCGATGCAGGTGTTTAAGAGGGTACATGATCAACCAAGAGGTCATTGGTTCCATAATAGTATTGTTTAACAGATAACCACTGAAACACGAGACAGACATAGATAGTTATTTATCTGCCAAAGGAAACAGTTGCTTGCCTTCGATTTTGCAACGCTGAGCCATTGTTCCTCCAAGTATCATAGCACTGATAATTTCTGCTGCAATACTTTCAAACAAATCAGCACCTCTAGCTGCACAATCACCCACATTGTCTCCAACCTTCAACATATCAACATATTATATAAGCTTCCCAATAGAAATCTACATCAGCAATTATACGAAATAAAAACAAGTAATTACTGAAATTCTTGTAAGTGAAATCTTTAATATTGTTAGAGCATCCAATCCAAAACGAATTGGCAATAGGTGGAGTGGCCCCTCAAGTATATAAATCAACCGTGGTGATCCTAATTATTTGATATGGAATACAAGCTCTCTTAGCATCATCTCTCACATGGGATCCAAGCTTGCACGTGGGGCCAATAAACATACATACTGAAAAATTCAAATGGGACAGGAGACTTGACCCACTGACCACCTAAGACCCATCTCTGATACCATATAAGAGCATCCAAACCAAAACCAATTGGTAATAGTTGTAGTGGCCCCTAAAGTATATAAACCAACCTTGGTGGTCCAAATTATTCGATGTGGAATACAAGCTCTCTTAAAATTATAGCCAAGTAAAAATATTTGCAATCTGGATGAGTTCAACTCTGTAGAACTGCATTCTGGCCTTCCATGTCAACTAATATCTCATCTCTAAAAAAAAATATGTATCGCGTTCGCGTAAACTTCAAGGACATGAGAATGTAGCTTAATCGCAGTATAGCATGATGTAGATTCCAAAGAAGACTTCAAAAAAATAAAGAAAATTCCCTTAGAAACTTCCAATAGATAAAATTCATGATGGCAAGACTTACTCTCTGAACCCTTTCAAATTAAAATAAACACAGCTTTTTGTCATCAAACTTCCTTGATTATGCTCTTTACACATCAACCTAAAATTGCAAGGAGCTGCATCCAACATCTTTCTTATCTTACATTTAGTTTAGATGATTGATGTAGAAGACAAAACAAACAGATCCCTTTAACGAGAGGCAAAGGAAGCATTCGTGTGAGAGCAAGCAAAAACACTACAGTCATTGAACTTCGCAGAGTACCAAGAAGCTTATTGTCAAGTTAATCCTCCTTGATCATATGGACAAGTGTGACTAGTGTTGTCTAAATCTTTAATGAATGATGACATGCTCAAAAACATATTTATGAGCATATGATGCAATAAAAGTACTTTACAATCAAAACCAAAATAAAAAAAATTTAGCTGCCACTTAAAATATTGAGTAATACTTGTATGGCTCAACGAGGTTAGTTTTGAACTGACAGACCTGACAAAAATAAGTGACAAACTAAAACACTTCAAGCACATGCATTATAGAAAAAAATAGGGATGAAGGGTAGATACCAGATCCGCAATGACAGCAGGATTACGAGGATCATCTTCAGGTATCCCCTGCTCCACTTTGCCAACAAGGTCAGCTCCAACGTCAGCTGCTTTTGTGTAAATTCCACCACCCAACTGAGCAAAAAGGGCAACAAATGAAGCTCCAAAACCATATCCCACCAGAAGAAGAGGCACTGCAAGAAAATTATGTAGAAGTCAAGCAACAGACCGAAACAAGAGGAATTTTCTGAAACTACTTTACAAGAAGCATATAATTGAAGAAAATGTTGGCCACATAAGACAGGTATACAGAAAAAAGAAAAGTTTTCTTATTATTAGATACATACATGATTGCATGCTTGCATACATCCACAAATAACAACTAAGCATGTTAAACCTATAAAATGGCATTCACACTACAGGATAAAATCCACATATGCAAAGAAATAGAGTCCTTACATACATCTAGTAAGTAATGAGAAATAACTTCTCCCGTATTCATTCTTTTTTGAAAAAAATAATCTATCATACTTTATGAACAAAAATATGATCAAAAGGAATCCACAAAAATGAATTAGTCAAAAAAGTACCAAAGCATGACCACCTGATAGGCTGATACCAACAATTGCAGTCAACTGTGGATGGCACAACAAATTTAAAGAAGTTTGATAAAAAAGGAACTGATTTAGAAACTCAAGGCTAGGGCAGTAGATATTAAGACTGATAGATTGTATGTTGGCCTAGGATTGGTGACTAGGCATGAAACAAGTCAATAGCAGTTGTCAGCACATGATATCAGCAGAATAGCAGTAAACTTATTCAACTAACATGTCACCATTTTCCTTCATATTTCTGTGAACAGTGTTGACAAGTTATTCTACGAACACCGGATGAAAATATTAAACGTCAAAAAATAAATTTTCTGTTCATTGTGTATAATCGATCAGTTTCAAGGAAACCACTGTCACTATTGAGAACAGCATTTACTTCTATTTATTATGAACAAGTTAAGCAGTCCTACGAAATTGAAGTATGCGTCATTCATCTTCATGATTACCATAATCTTTGCACTAGAAATTTCCTAATGTGAATGCTTACAAGTCCATCTGTTTTAATGGCTACTGAAGAACAAACAGAGTTCGGCTTAGCTTTTAGCCAACAAAGAAGGTGACACTCACAATCAGTAACCTTCATTGAACCAGGTGAATCCACCCCCAGCCAAACATAAAATGTGGAGTATAGGATGGCGACACCAATTACAGCCATACCAACAACTACTATTGCAGAGAAACCACCAGCCCGAACAGCTATCTGTACATTGCATCCACAAAGTAAGGTAAACATGTAAAAGCTTTTCCACTTAAAGGAAACCTAAAAAAGAAGAAAACCTGCAATGCCTCTCTGGCTGATCGTCTTGCAGCACTTGAAACTCGAACATTAGCACGTACTGACACCCACATCCCAACATAACCAGCAATACCAGAACATAGAGCCCCTAGGAGAAAAGCGGCAACAGTAATATATGCAGATGTTGACCTGAATTAGCAGCAGGCGAAAGGTATTAACTCTATCAGCAGGAACCTTGAGATAAATTAAAGGCTATGCAACTAACACTGGAAATCTGTCATCACCTCCCTAAGCCAGAAGATTCTTGTTGGGGAGTTGTACTACGAAATAGATATATGACAAGGATCACAAACGCGAGTAAGAATGCCATCCTAGAGATAGACCCGTACTGTGTCCTAAAGAAACCTTCAGCTCCATCACGTATAGCATCTGATATCTGACAAGTAAAATGATAAGCTCAGGAGTCGNTCCTAAAGAAACCTTCAGCTCCATCACGTATAGCATCTGATATCTGACAAGTAAAATAATAAGCTTAGGAGTCGGGACAAGTGAATGAAGACCTTCTAATTCATAAGTAAAGATGTCAAAGCAATGCATGAGCTCAAAATTGGCTTAACTACCAATATCACCAAATAAACACATAAATTTAACATGATGGTTGTTAACTACTAAATACTTGTATCTCAAATCAGCAAAATAATCAAAAGGCTTTTTAAGCTTTTAAACAATGCAGTTGAATGTAAATTCAGATTAATTTTGATACTCCTGCCATAAAACTTCTCTATCACTTAATTCCAAGGGAAAAATCATGTTATTCAGATCACCAAGCAGAAAACCTCTGACAACAACACCCCCCCCCCCCTTTTCGAAAAAAAAAAATCCACATGGCCTATAAAACCATAAGACAAGACAAACATGAAAAAAGTCTAAAAGAACTCAAGCTCACCAAGCTCTACTCCCAAATGCTTGGTTGAGTTGGCTCAATTCATATTTGTGTTTGTGTGTGTGTGAGAGAGAGAGTCCTTGGCTCATTTAGATGAATCCCTGTTTTCCACACAACTCTATCGAGTACCGCAAACGCCTCATAAAGCATAATAAACTAAATTCACCATAGGAACACGGGTAATGCTAAGGGTAATGCNAGAGAGAGAGTCCTTGGCTCATTTAGATGAATCCCTGTTTTCCACACAACTCTATCGAGTACCGCAAACGCCTCATAAAGTATAATAAACTAAATTCACCATAGGAACACGGGTAATGCTAAGGGTAATGCGATATACATGACATCACATAATATAAACAAAGAAAGACCGGCAATTCATTAACCAAAAACCATAAGAGCTTAAGTCATGAGCCCTCAAAATATAATCAACACGACCAGATAACATAAAGATCCTTTGGATGCCCCACAATTTATTTATAAATAGTAAAATAACAACTACAGAGAAAACTAATTGGAAAACCATACAGAGGGACCTACACTATTAGAAACAATTGTACCTCAACCATCTCGGGAGGTCCCTCATCCTTCTTAAGTACCCACTTGGTGAGATATATTGAGAAGAGAAAGCTGATGATGCAAACAGAAAACACAAATACAATGACAGGAGAGGTACTAGCTCCAATGTAAAAAATAGCACCAAAGCCCAAGAGTAGAAGCACGAAAATAACTCGAACATTTAATCTCATGAATATACGAAAGACCTGCACAAGAAACCAAAAAATATTAATGCACACACAAAAATACGAAGGGAGGGGGCGGAGAACTAACAGAGAGAAGATAAGGAAAATGCACATTTTAGCGAACAAGCATACCAAAATAAGAAAAGAAAGCAATTTAAAAAAATTCTTCTTTTTCTTTTTATAGTAGACCTAAGTGGTCATATTGGATCCTTTGGAACAATCACAAGTGCGGCCGGCCTATATTTGAAAGATAATGTCATGTCCTCCAGCAAAGCCTAGAAAAAGGTGACTCACGCAGACAGTTGCCTCCTTTTCAATACAAAAGAATAGCCAAACCAAGCCAACTGGTTGTTCGAAAGTCAATTTGTGGAAGCCCTTAATTAAAACTAAAAAATTACGAATCATTGACATGTTATTTTGTCCTATGTACCGGTGTCTGTGATAAAAATCGAAAAGGGATTAGATGATCTTAAATTTAAGAATTGAATTTTATTATTTGTTTTAGTATTATTTTATTAGTTAGAGAATATTTGTTTGACTAGGAATATTAATTAGAGTTTANGAATTTTATTATTTGTTTTAGTATTATTTTATTAGTTAGAGAATATTTGTTTGACTAAGAATATTAATTAGAGTTTAATTAGGAAATTATTATAGAGTTTTAGTAGGATAGTGATTTGAGAGTTTGATCATGAAACTCTTTTAGTATTTTAATAGAAAAGTAGTTTTTATTTTAGTAGAGAACTTGATCTATAAATAATAGTGTAATTCCAATGATTTGGGAAGACAGATTATGAATAAGAATTGAATATTCTCTACGGAGATTTGTGNGAGTTTAATTAGGAAATTATTATAGAATTTTAGTAGGATAGTGATTTGAGAGTTTGATCATGAAACTCTTTTAGTATTTTAATAGAAAAGTAGTTTTTATTTTAGTAGAGAACTTGACCTATAAATAATAGTGTAATTCCAATTATTTGGGAAGACAGATTATGAATAAGAATTGAGTATTCTCTACGGAGATTTGTATGTTTCTTTACCGATTCCTTGCGAGGATGAGGTAAACCCCTTTTACCCCCTCTTCTTTCTTCTTCTCTTTCTATTCTGTGATTTCTAGTCCTTCTCGATCTACGTCAGTCTGACATGGGGACACGAACACATTCAGACACGTCCAAGATACGTGTCGAATATGCAAAAATATGTTTTCAATTTTTTTTAATATTTCTGAATTTTGGACAAGTCCGAACACGTTTCAAACAAATCTAGACACGTTGGGAGCAATTTGATGTCAATTTTAAAAGGAATCTTTTGCGGAAAGTACACACCATTGCTGGTTGTTTGCAAACTCCGGCAAAGCAAAGGCACGTCACATATATATAATAGAGGAAAGAAGCAGCGGCATAGATGCAGCACTGCTTGGTATGAAGAAGACCTAGATCGCAAACACCATGGCCCATGTGTTTGGGAACTGCCCAGAAGATTTCTTTGTGAAGGGAGTGAAGCATATTTGTTCCGCTGTACATCGGAGAATTTACAGAGAGAAATGGGCAAAGAGAGACATAAAGTTGTATAGGGATAGGCCTGTAAGAGAGAGAGAGAGAGAGAGTTTGCATTGTTTGATGTTTGTTTTAATATCAAGAAACTTCCCAGCTTTCTAAAAAAATATAATTTCCTTATCTTTTACTGGACAAATTGTCCTTATTGATCAGAGCTTTGCTAGTGGGCTAGCTTGAGCCACTTCAAACTCCTTNTCGTCATCCATCGGAACAGCTTGGAAGGAATTCACCCTCCGAGCTACAGGGAAAGGGTTGTACTCGCCACTCTGGGGCAAGTCAAACCCTGAACCTGATCTCTCAATTTTGAATTTTCTTAGANTTGTTTGATGTTTGTTTTAATATCAAGAAACTTCCCAGCTTTCTAAAAAAATATAATGTCCTTATCTTTTACTGGACAAATTGTCCTTATTGATCAGAGCTTTGCTAGTGGGCTAGCTTGAGCCACTTCAAACTCCTCTGTTGGGTAATTTATTTAGCCCAATGGACTTTATGGAATGGATTGGGTTTATATAAAGCATGGGATTCTCTGTTTATGTGTTATATATACAATTATAATATATATTCTAGGACAAATTTACAAACTCCTGATCATATTAAAATATTAACACTTTTTATAGAGCATGTCCTGATGTGTCTGAGTCCTACTTTTTAGGAAAATATCGTGTTTGGTCTATGTGTCCGTATCGTGTAGTATTCGTGTCCCGTGTTCTTCTTACTTGAAAATAACAAATTTTGTGATAGCGAAGTGAATNGTTATATATACAATTATAATATATATTCTAGGACAAATTTACAAACTCCTGATCATATTAAAATATTAACACTTTTTATAGAGCATGTCCTGATGTGTCCGAGTCCTACTTTTTTAGGAAAATATCGTGTTTGGTCTATGTGTCCGTATCGTGTTGTATTCGTGTCCCGTGTTCTTCTTACTTGAAAATAACAAATTTTGTGATAGCGAAGTGAACAAAATTGTGTCAAAACTAATGTAATCAACCCCTCACTCAATGAAAACACAACTCTTCCGTATATGATAGTTTTTCCCATATTATGAGGGGGAGTACTGGGACAACTCCAAGTCATCAAAATGTCAATAATGTTATGTATGTATTGATTAAGACAGAAAAAGAATTCCATGACGATTTCAGGAAACCGTTGTCCTACTAGGGTTGGCTATCATATCACGTTTTCCGNAACTCCAAGTCATCAAAATGTCAATAATGTTATGTATGTATTGATTAAGACAGAAAAGAATTCCATGACGATTTCAGGAAACCGTTGTCCTACTAAGGTTGGCTATCATATCACGTTTTCCAATTCACTGTGTCTAAGGCCACAATTTCAGTTATGAACTGCTACAGCTTCCTTTTTCATCTCAACCTTTTTTTCCCTTTCAGATAGACTACCTTCTCAAGTTAAATGAATTTCCCTCTCCCTGTACCCCTAGCAACCTCCCCAGTGGGAAACATTACTTTTCATCCCTGGTATTATTAATAGTCTTTGTTGGGCCACAGTTTTGTCACTCACTGAGCATAAACTTAAAAAAATAAAAACCAGTTCACTGGGGGCAAATAAATAAAACTAATTCATTCTAGATATATATCATTCTCCACTATTATTGGATCTGCCATTCAAAGAGTAACATCTTAAACCTTTTGTTTTTTCATTTTTTTCATCAACACATTCTCATATTTTTCTCTGAGTTTCTCCATTTGACACAATCGAATATCAATACACCACACAACTGTCCCACATTGAACAGTAACAACACCGATCATAGCTGCATCCACAAATACACTGATACAATCTGCTATCCGTTTCTCTGTTTGACGATATCAATACACCACACATCTGTCCCACAGTGAACAGTAACAACACCGATCATAGCTGCATCCACAAGTACACTTACACAACTTGCTATCCACCATTTCTTGCAATAAGCAATATGATAAGTAGCGAAACAAAATACTTTTAAGTCATCAATTTTGGCCGAACCGACCTATAGTGCCGCAATATGTTTCCACTATCATGCTTAGGTTAGACATTGTTGATCAAGGAAGTAGGATAGTGCCACAAAAGAAATTTGTTATGGTCATCAATGCCACAAAAGAAAGAACAGTCTTAAGTTGTTCCATCAAGAAGCAAATTACATGCATCAAAGGCAATAAAGTAATGACACATGATAAATGGTGCAACTGATAAAAAATATGTGGCAAAAGCTGAGATATTAGATGTAAATATGGTCCTTACCAATGGTGTGTAAGGTTTAGTGCGCATGTTGGGGAATGTCCTTGGCCTGTCCTGGTAAGGCCCCAAATTACCACCCTCCATGTCGTCATCCATCGGAACAGCTTGGAAGGAATTCACCCTCCGAGCTACAGGGAAAGGGTTGTACTCGCCACTCTGGGGCAAGTCAAACCCTGAACCTGATCTCTCAATTTTGAATTTTCTTAGTGGGTCAACAAAGATTAAGATCTAAGCTCATGCAGGTGAAGCAGCCAGTCAATCTTTTTCTCTCCAGTAATATCTACAATATGGTATACCTTTGGTTTCACTTTGAACAGCTCATAAGCTAGTAGAATCCCCTTCGTATTCCTCAACAAAACTCATCTACTCTGGAAAACAGATCAAAAAACAATCAATACCACATAAATTTGATACACTTATAAAGCATTAGAGGTACTACAATCTACTATTAGCAGAAAGCACAAAACCTCATACTAGCAAATTCACCACATCCCTATAAAAAGTGATAATAAAACAAACTTCCCAATTCTGAAAGCTCAGATTCCAGGCAACTAGGTTTTACAAATTGAGTCCATGTTACAGCAGTGTATAGGAACCAAAGGTTTTACCAGGTTGGAGTATGATCAACCCAAAATATATAACAGAAAAAGGGATGAAATGAGCACAACTTCTTCGGCTTTACTTATGTAAGGAAGCATGCCACAACTCACTAACGACTAATGGAAACTATGTTTTTGACAGGAATTGTCATTAGATAGAACACATATAGAGAGATATATGTATGTGTTTGTAGATTATTACAGAATGTAGGCAGTAAAATATCACATTTCTTTCCTAGTTAAGGCTTGCAATGGCAGATTTGCTGAGAGTACAGACAGAAACCTTCGGCTAAAATAAAACACACACAATGAATTGCGATAACAGCTATAAGTGAGATCATCTTAAAAATCCAAATATCTACAAGAGAGCGAAACCAAAAGATCCCGATAAACCCTAGATTCAATGCCACATGCGTTGCCCATACGCAGAAAATCAACGATTCGCAGGAACAACAACATCCCACGCTGATCGCAATCATAGGCGACCATAGATAGTTCCCAGGCAAAGATCTATGAGTATATTAAACAAAAAACCCTAAAAAACTTACTCATCCCGTCGGCCCAGATTGACAAACGAAGAAGACTCCGAATAGAATTCAACGTTTGTTGCAATTACAGTCCAAATGTGTGTGTGAGAGAGAGAGAGAGCAAAGCGATTACCTAATCGCCATTAACGAAGGCTTGTTTGGCCTTTAACATCTGTCCGTCAATCAAAAGTGGTCCGCAGGCTTCTCACCTTTCGGAATTGAGAGAGAAAGAGACTTTTGGGAGAGACAGTGAGAAAGACGAATTTTCTTTTTTGTTTGTTTGTTTATACGTAGTAGGACTTGCAAATTTGTAGTCAGCATCTAAACTTACATTTGCATCACCATCCATGGCGTAGGGATTTTTCTTCTTTTCTTTTCTTTTCTTTTTTTATTTTTTTTGGGTAAATTACACTTTATACCTAGAAAGATTGTCAAATTTCTATTTTTATATTTAAAGATTAAATTTCTCATATTATACTCTTAATGTATTAAAAGTATTACAATGTGACATTTAAAAAATACTAAGTAATCTAAATTTTCATCCCAAATGAAACGAGTCATTAGATTAGTAGGTCTCATTAATTTTTTTAAATGGGACTCACTGAGCTTTTGACACAAAAAATAACATAAATTAATAAAAATATCATATTATAATATTTTTGATACATTAAAAGTATAATATGATAAATTTAATCTTTAAAGGTATAAAATAAAAATTTTAAAATTTTTCATGATACAATATATGAAAAACCCTTTATTTATTTGTTTCGATCTCAATCACTCATTCCCATTGAATTAACAGGTCCTAGTATTTAATAGAATTCACGACTAATCTAATAATTGTAATAAATTAAACAGTAAATTATGTTAATGAATTATATTCAAAAAATATTGTTATATTTCAAATTTCTTTTGTGTATACACTTGGAGCAATCCTTAATTTGTTGACTTATTTATTGAACTAATATATTATAATTATTAAATTAATGGTGGATCCGAATCAATAATAGTGTCCACTGTTAATTCAATAGTAAAAAGTGATTAGATCAGTAAATGAAATGAATTGATTAAATATGCATAATATTTAAATGTGTGACGGATATTATTTTATATATAGTGGAGTGATTACTGGAGGGAGTGGGATTCAATTTTTCTTAATTTGTTACACATGCGACCTGTCACAATGTGCTCTCAGGAGACATGTCACCGACTCCAATTACATCGTGCCACGTCACTCATTCCTCTTCAATTCTGTCGGCCATTCCTATTAAGTTTGCCAAATCATTTTTAAGTTTTAAGGCATGGATTTGATTTGTTTCACTTTCAATAGGTTGCATCGCATCTTTACGAAATTTTAATTTTATTTTCAAACAATATTTATTCTAAAATTAACAGCTCAAAACTTATCCGTAAAGTAATTTTAGATGATGTATAATTCTTTCTCTCATTTAAGTATAAGGCTGATAATTAATTCGAGTTGTACGGCCTCGTCTTGAATAAAACTCACTTCAAACTCAACTCGTGTTTTAAACGAGCCAAGTTCTAATAATTTTTTAAATGAGTCAAAAAAATGAGCCTAAAAAAATTATACTCGAGTTTACAAAATTCAACTTATTTTTATGTGAAATAGTCAAATTACTCGGGTTTGTCTTGGTTTGAGCTCGAACAATTTTTTAAGTTTAATTAGAAAAACGAGTTTAACAGACTAGGCTCGATTACCAACATTATTTGAGTATTTTAAAAAAATTGAACTTTTACAAATTTATTTTGTGGTTAATTATATAGATTCTAAATGATTTTTAATTACAAATTTAATACTTTTTAGTATTAAAGTTATGTGGATAATCTTTGAAATTTTTTGCTAAAAAATTAAATCAATTTCAACTCGAGTTCCTATTAAATGTTCACAAACTTTTATCGAATTAAACTTGAACAAGGGTCTAAACAAAATAAATTAAAAAACAAATCTGCATAATCAAACTCAATAAAACTTCACTCAATTAGGACCCTATTGCTAGGCATGATGACCTTGAAATCCCCTACAGTCCCTTATAATTGTAAGGAACACTATTGTTTCTCATTTATATGTTTATAATTTAGCCATAACAGCTGAAGTTATACTCTGCTCGGAATCGGTCGACTAGTGAAACATTCATTCTCTCCTCTCAGTTTCGCAACAGATTCAGTAAGTTACGTGTTCGTTGCACGGAGAACTATCTTCAATCTCGAGCTCATTGAGTCAGGTTTTTTATTTACCCACAACAGAANTCTCCTCTCAGTTTCGCAACAGATTCAGTAAGTTACGTGTTCGTTGCACGGAGAACTGTCTTCAATCTCGAGCTCATTGAATCAGGTTTTTTATTTACCCACAACAGAGGCGACCACGAGTTATAACACTCTTTGTACAACAAATCACTTCTCTAGTGAAAAATCTAATCAAGAATCTAAATCTTTTACAACACATACACTTCTGGTCAAACACAATTAAGGTTTTTAATCTCAGTAATAAATGTGAATGGGTTAAGAGATTAGTCTAAGGAACCTTCTTCTCACTTTTTCGAAAAAATCTAGAGGATGAACACATATAATTTAAAATAATGTGACAAAAATCTTANTTAGTCTAAGGAACCTTCTTCTCACTTTTTCGAAAAAATCTAGAGGATGAACACATAATTTAATGTGACAAAAATCTTTTTTTTTTTACAAAAAAATTTGAAAAATGAGCTTATATAATTTGAATTAATCCATAACCAGTGACACTAACAAAAAAAAACACAACGAAACGATTGGCCAAAAAACCAACATGAAATGAAGAGAAACCTTCCCCTTTTCTAAATACAAATGATCATGTATCTTCTCTATTATACATTCAACAAGATTACTTTTGCATTCATTTAATATTCCAAGGCACAAATTTCACAGGTGAAAGGAGCCCCCAATTCTACCCAAGGCATGTACAGTTCATACAAACAAACTCGGATGATTAAGATGATCAATCACCTGAGACTTCTCTTCTTGTACAATGCAGCCTCTCTTCGAAGATTACTCACCTGCCTTGCTTGAAGCTGTCTTAAGTTCTTTAATCTGTGAGACCTGCCCTTAACATGAACAGACACTTGCTTACTCTTCAACCTCAAGTGGTTATGGTGACGGCCACTATGATTGACATGTCCACCTCTAGAAAAACTAGCTGAGCTTCGTGATCTATTCTTTCTTCCACGCCTCGTTAATTTATTGTTTCTAATCATCCTTAAACTCGTGTCATCACCAAAAGACTCACCTGNACCTCTAGAAAAACTAGCTGAGCTTCGTGATCTATTCTTTCTTCCACGCCTCGTTAAATTATTGTTTCTAATCATCCTTAAACTCGTGTCATCACCAAAAGACTCACCTGCTCCACCACTTGAGCTATAACCACCCTCAACATCTCGAAAGTGACGGTGACGGTGGCGACGCCGATTTACCCGCTTGACATTCTTTAGCTTGTGCCATAAAAAACAGGTAATATCTTCCAAGGAGAACCAGTATGTCTCACATGCAGCCCAACACATCTTACAAAGACTCTTTACCATGCATTGGCAGATCCCCAACTTGAACAAGAGGTAGAAGAACAATAAAGCTGGATGCAAAAAAAGAAATAATTATTCTTATTTTTTTTCTCTACTATGACTCCTACAAATAAAAAACTGATTCTTGCTAATTTATATGTATCCTCTGTCTAAAATTAGCAGGAAAATCCTTCCTCATTACTATCTTAACCAGAAATTCCATGATTTTATAGAAATTTAAAATACGGAAGAGAGTTTTTGCTTTGGTTCTTTTTAACTTTTAATAGAAAGGAGGAAAATTTAACTTTCAAAAACAGAACATTTGACTTTTAATATAACAAGTTAAATCATAATTGCAGAGCACAATTTACAGAAAATTCAGCTACCACTACAAAGTAAAAACAAGATTGAGGGAAAAAAAATTACTTATATAGCAAAGCCCCAAAACCATCAACAATTTTGCCAGATTGGAGACACAGAGATGCTCAATGAAACAAGTTACATCCCATGTTCCTGAACAAATTCCCCTGCAGAAGTCATAGTTTACAAAGAGGTTCACAAATAGCAAAATTCATTCAACATAAAAAAAAAATGTAATTTCAGTGGTGGAACGTGATGATCGTAGAAGTGAACAATCAGAACATACTCACAAATGTATTTACTTGTTTTCTTATGAGACTATGTACACTAAAAATAGAAGTCGCACCCCAAAGTCCATTGACGAGACCAGGGGAAGATGGACTTTACTAGCCTTTTACATAAACCTTGCCACTTGATTGATTATACAATACAAGATTCCGATAAAGAAGCAGCATAAAATCAATAGGAATCATAGTTTTATAATAAGCTGATTGCAAAGCAAAGAGGGTTTGTATTCTGGTTAGATGAACTTTTAAATTAATGAAACTGAAACAGGATGCCAAAAATGTTGTATATATGCAGATATATACTAATATTTATTAATATTGATAAATTGTATAATTATTTACTTATTGGTGGTTAGAAGGACTCTTGAAGACAAGAGTTAAAACCTTCCAAATAAAGGTGACTATTGGCATCTAAATGAAGAGTTACCACTCTTCTAAAGAGTGTATGGAACACTATCAATATAGGGTTCCTACCCTTCGCCATAAAAATGAAGTTAGTTGTTAATTTCCAATTTCTATTATTGTATTTTATTGAGGTTGTTTTACGGAATTTCATTCGGGTTATTTTCTGGTTCCAAGACTACTATTAAATAGACTCAAAGGTTAAGCATTGTATCATAGGAATAGAATTTTCATGAGTCTATCTACATCATAGTAAAAAAATTACTATCTCAAATATAGCGTGTGACTTGTCATGCCTAACGACTTTTTCCGATCTATCTTATTTTTATTATTTTTTCTACTCAGATTTCTTGTATCACCGATTATATACAACACAACAGTCTTTAGGACAAGAAAAAAAAGAAAGAAAGTGAAAGATAAAGAGCTAAAGAAAGAGGAGTTCTTACTCACAAGATCCACCAAAAATAGCTTTGATTGGAGCTGAAAAGGCTTTTCCAAGAAGACCTCCAGCGCCATTTGCTGCCTTACTGATAACATCCCCCATTTCGAATTCTGAAATAGTAATGATTGGTAATAGCCCGTGCCTAAATGCACTTGGCAACCTAAAATACCCCGTCAATTTGAAATACTTTTTCTTTCATTTGCTTTAATTAAAGAAATTGAAATCAATCCAGTCCCCACTATTTTTTTCAAAAAAAATTCGACAAAGTTTTCTTTAAAAATTAGAGTCCAAGCAAATCTCAACATGTCTACAAAACTCACAATCATTTATAACAATCATCATAATGCGTAATAACAATTCAATTTTATTTTCCCCAAAATTAGCATTTTACACCCAACCATCAAAACAACCATCAATTCCCATCAAATCAAATATATCCTCATAATCATAAGTAATTGGTTCACCTTACTAAACACATGCAAACTGGACACACGCGTGCACAAAGAGAGAAACATCTCTCTTCAACTTAATCTTCTTTAGAATTAAGAGACACAACCAAAGAACACATACCAATAAGATTGCTAACAACAGCCACCACACAATTGTCTGATTGGGATGAGAGACTTTAACATCTTCTAGATGTGGTGTCACCAGAAAATAACCCCAAGCATGCTTTTACGTATTTCTGAAAATTTTTAAATGTAAAAATTATTGAAAAATGTGAGACAAAACAAAACAATTGAAAATCCGAAATATACAACCTCTTGCTTTTCTTGTCAATTAGAATCAACATAATTACTGTCATCAATCTCATTAACCTGAAGTATGCAAAAAAGATAAACTAACGAAGAACACACACATAAGGAGGTTTGCTATTCAACTAATCCAACTAAATTCAGACTGAAAACGTAAATTTAAATCTATAATAATCATAGAGATCAAAATTAAAAAAATGGATGACATTAGTCATAGAGAGTTCAAAATTGAGAGATCTAACATTCAGAGAATCAACCACATGACATTAGAGCTAAAAAGTAGGATTAACAATGGATGTTGGCAAGCTAATAACACAATTGACAAAAAAAAAAAAAGTAACAAACAAAATGGAATTAAATATTGAACTACACTAATGGGTAAAATGGTAATGAAGCAAAAAAAAGCTTACAATAATGGATCTATTGGTCGTGCAATGAAAAAAAAAAAGTACTCAAATATAAATTAGTTTGAAAAAAAAATTCAAAATTCAAGAAACCAATAGTTGTAAAAATCAAACAACCTGCAAGCCATAGAAAATCAGGAAACCAAATCCTTGTTAGTCATTTTTTTCAAACATCTTGGGAGCATGCCCTAAAAAGTTGAGTGTGTGTATGTGTGTACTGGGTGCTGTGTGTGTTGATGTGGTATATGTGTGTGTTGCAGAGAAGAGGATGAGTAGAAAAGTGGTAGAGGATGAGTAGAAAAGTGGTAGAGAGTGAGAGAAATATAATTTACACAATTTTCTATAAAAAAAAGTTAACTAACATTAACCTACAAATTTTATAAAATTAACATGCAATAATCATCAACTAAACATCCCAATTCATGCGTCTAACAAAACTCTACAAACTCTATTCAATCAAATTAACACGAAATCTCAATCAAAACACTACGGACTTTATTTCAATCAAAATAACCCTAACATTTAATTTTAAAACCCTAACGTTTAAAACACTAACATCCAACTTCCAATTTCAAAACACTAACATCCAAAAACTCTATTTCATTAAATTAACACCAAATCTCAATCAAAATAAGTCATTCAATCAAAACACTACGAACCCTATTTCAATCAAGATAAACCTAACATTCAATTTTAAAACCCAATCGTTCAATTGTAAACACAACTTCCATTTTAAAAAAAATTAATCACCAAAACCATATATCATAAAATTAACACCCAATTGAAAATAATAAAGTTAACATCCCATTTCATATGACTAACAAAACCTTAACATCCAATTTCATACAAAAAAAAACACAACAAAAAATGAAATTAAAACCCAACATTCAATTTGAAAACCATAACACTCAATTAAAATACAACTAACAACTCTAACATTCAATCAAAATAAACCCTATCATTCAATTTCTTACAAAACTTAACAACCAATTTGAAAATATTACATTCAATTTTCTATAAAACACCCAAATCAACACTCAATTTGGAAAAATTCATAGAAAACATTACAAAAATGTGTGTGTTTGCTGCGTGTATGTATGTGTGAATGTGAACGTGATGTGTGTTCGACTGGTTTGTGTGAGCGAGGGTGTGAAAGAGAGGTGAGAGAGAGAGATAGAGAGAGAGACACCTGGGGTGCTGTAGAAGACAGATCGCGTGGAGCGAAAGAGAGAGAGAGAGGAGTGACTGCGTGGGCCTGGGTTGGGTACTGTGTAGGAGGTTTAAGTTTTAGGGCCATGAATTTTCTAGTGAACCAATCACTTAGGGGCTGTTTGTTTATATTTTCTATATAACCAATTTCAATCTATTCTCAGTTTTCATTTTTCATTTTTCATTTTTTTCTCTTTCAATATACGGATGTCGTGTGTCCGCGACTACTACTTTTATTAATTTTTCAACCATTTATAATTATTTTTTTCTTTGATTTCACCCAACCTTAACCACATAATCCTTCAAAACAATCGATGCTCTGTGCGCGAATTTACACTTTGAAAGCGATTTTTTCATGAATACACACTATTATTTTATAAAATTCATGAATTTAGACTCTTACTTGCTTATATGCTTACTCATTATTACTCTAATTTTTATTTGAAAAGTATTGACGCATACATAAAAGATATATATCAATATATATTTTGTTATTTCATGACCTTATAATCAATATATATTTAAAAATTAAACAATTTTTTACATAGTTATGCATGAAATTGAATTTTTTATTTTTTTATTTTTATTAACTTTTATGGGTAAGTGTTTGTCTTTATACGTCTATATAATAAAATAGCTTATAATTCAAATTTTAAAAGATAAACTAAATGATTTTTGTTATTCGCGGTTGAGATTGTTTTAAATTTTACTTTAAAGTTAATCTAACAGATAATATTAATACTCTAAATTTAATAGAAAAAATAAGACTTTAAAAGTGTATTTAGAGTGACTTTTTAAATTTTTTTTTAAAAAAATTATTTATCATAGATACTTAAAAAAAAAGTAGTGTTTCAAACCGCCCCACCCCACCATTACCTTTACCACCACCACCACCACTAACTAACGTCGTCACCATCGCCATCGCCATCGTTATCACTGTCACCCCACCCCCATAACCGTCCCTGTCACTGCATTTGCCATTGCCACTGCTACTGCCACCTCCATTATCGTTGTTGTCATTGCCACCATCACCGTCGCCACGGTCATTACCACCCACCATAATTATCACCACCATTACCGTTCACCATCTCTCAATTTCATTGCAAAACAATGTTTAAATCATTTTATCTCTTTTCCATATTTATGATTTGATTTTGAATATGAATACAAATATATTTATTATTTATCATTTTTTATTACTCTGTATATTCAGGCACAGACAATAACTAGTTATTATATGACGCTTTAAAAACTCTTTTATTCTCAAATATTTTTAAATTTTTGCCCTTCTTTCTCTTGTCTCTACCTAGCCACATGTGCCCAATAAAAAATTAATATTTAATTTAATTTCTTCCAAAATAACCATACAACTCCATTTTTAACCCTATTTAATAACCGTGCGTAGGGCATCTAATCTCTTAATAGTAATTGCTAGTGATAATTAGAGAGCAGTTCTTTTTAAGAAACTGAGTTAAGTTTATTCCTTGAATATATTTGAGAATAAGTTCTATTATTATCTATTTAGTAAGTTGTTAAATCCAATTTTAAAAAAAATACCAAAATGCCCTAATTCTTAAATATCTGGGCCGAGCGGGTAAGCCCAATAAGAATCTAAGGATTTCAATGTCATTTGTCGATGAGGTCCCAGCAGAAGACATGAAGGGAGAATGATGGGGCTGATTTTGGGGTATGTAATTGGGCTTTTTGACAGAACCAAGGCAACTTATGGTTAAACTGGCCTAAACCCATCAAGCCCCATAAGACTATAAGAAGCGAGAAGTCCAGACTGTAGAGTTAACGAGGGTTTCTAGGGTTTCAGAGCACTGATTGATTGGGAGTAAGCAGGGCAGAATTGAGAAGAGAGAGATGGCGTCGAAGGTGTTGGTGAAAGCAAAAGGAAAGGCAGGAGCAAAGGGATCAAAGGGCGGTTCTGGTGGGGCGAACGAGAGCAACCGTTGGACAAACACATCGAAGTGCGTGAAAGATTGGAGCACCTGGGCGATCAAGAAGGCGAAGGTGGTGACCCACTACGGATTCATCCCATTGGTCATCGTCATTGGCATGAACTCCGAGCCAAAACCCAGCATTTACCAACTTCTCAGCCCCGTTTAATCATGTATACTCCCTAAAAATTGCTTGCATCCTGGCGATCTCTGCGTCTAGGTCTTCAATTATCTGTCGAAACTGCTAGTACTAATTTACTTAAGAATGGTAGTGGGATAGTTTCAATTGTTGTTTTCTTTAGTTGTATTTGATAAATTCTGAATCTGATATCCATATATTTTGGCTTATATATTATGGTGGTTGCAGGTAGCAGTATATGTTTGCTATTATTATTTTATTGGCAACTATCAAACAAACGGGGGATAACAAATGAGGGATTAAATCGAAATTTTAATGTTTTAGAGTGATTTGATATGATTCTGAGTTATTTCGAGATGTTTTTGTTAATATTTCTTGATATTTCAAGGCAGTTCGGTAGATTTGGACCACCTGAACTGATTTTTTTGTTCAATGGTAGGTTCAATGCTTAGCCAAGTCCGCGGATCCTCTGTTGTACAGCATGACAGCGTCATTTTTGGGTATAAAACTGCGTCGTTCATTTTGAGGAACAATACTGCTGTACAACGGAGGATCTGTTTCCACACTTAGCCTTCATCATCGATGGTTTTATCAGCGTCAAATCAAAAGGCTTTAGTAGTCATATCGAGCATCCTACCATTTTGGAGTCTAATAAGGTTAAATGTATACAATTTTATCAACAACTTGAATCCTCCAAGTCTCAACAGAAGTTCAACATGATATCAATTTTGAATTCATTTACTTTTGCCATGTTGTCACTTTTAAGACAATCTAAGTCATTCAAAAAACAGTAGGAGAGGAGAGAGGAAAATTCTCCAAGAACTTAGTTTCAATATATATACAAGGGCTGCCTAATGTACAAGCATGGAGTCCAACACAACCATTCATTTGGGAGGGAAGTCAAGCAATCTTTCAAACACCCTTAAAGTCAGCATCAAACTCCTCATCATTCTTACCCAGCATATCTTTCAAGCTACACTCGAAATTCCTACACTTAAGCTCCCAATATCTGGGCTTTATCTTATTCTCCAACGAGTAGCTGAAGTACCTTGGGTAGTCCACCACATCCATCAATGGCTTTTCCATGGTGTTCACTAGGAATTCTAATTTGGGTCTCAAAACCTCTTCGATGCTGTAGCCTAGTAATGGTGAAAAACAGTGAACCATGAGCGCAACATCTCTTTTTGAAAGGCCAATCTTCATCAAGAATAACATTCTGCCCACACAACCAGTTTTGAGTTACTCCAGAGTAAGTTCAGACTAATCGTAAAAGACTACAAACAGGATATAGTTGAGAAAGATCATTACCGAGGAAGTAAAGTTTTGTTGATGTCACATACAAAAAGCTCTGGATATTTTCTGATGACCCGAGGAAGATGTTCTTCAGAGACACCAATGCCCCTAAGGAACTCGATCTTTTTCTTGAGGGTTTTCTCAACGCTTGTACCAAAAATTTCAGGACAGCGACCAAGCATCCTACTGATGGTTTCCTCATCAAGTCCCAAATCTTCCAGAAAATATACCACCTGGAAATAGCAGTGTAATCTAAGAATCCCAGAAAACCATTGTGGTGCTTGTTTCAGGTAATTTGGTCTATCAACAATGCATATTCAAAAGAGATACTCCAGCAGCCATCCAAACAACGCAACATTAATGGACTCCATTGTCTATGCTGGCTTCATGTCTAGAAATCTATACTCAAATGCACCTTAACATTTCTACAATGTCCACCAAGACAAAACATGGATACAGGAGGTATTGCATACATCTAATGGTGCTTGTATGGATGCATATCCAGTACCACATCGACCTACAGGGATTAGCATCCAAAACCTTAAGATCTACTATGATAATTCAGCCATGTTCCTATGTCCTAAAATTTGGGGACCATAACTAAGGCACACATGCAAACCAACCAGTGCTTTACTTTTCGTTTAATGTGGCCAGACATTCTACCTGTAAGCTAATTCACCAATCAATCACCAACCTGCAAAAATTCCTGAGGTTTCTGTTGTAGTAGCTGAGGACTCTTGGCAATGACCTGGCCCAACCTCTTGTCTCTGACACCTAATTCACCAAACTGATTAACCATCAGCCTCAGCTTGCCAATTGAACAACCCAAAAGATGTGGCCAGCTTTTGACAGATTGGTGAACACTGACTTCTGGAACCTGTCATGCAAAGAGGATAAAGTTACTTAAGTGAAAGCATACTTTGTTATTTCATGTATTTCTTTCGATATCATGCAGACAACAAAGAACTAGATTATGCATTGGAACCAGGGAGGAAGCAGACATACCGATAGACAACAACAGCTGACAGGAAAAGAAATGGGAGAAAGGAAAAAATAAAAAAATATCAGAGTGGCAGTAAGGCGGCAAAGTACCAGAACAGAGTCTAGGATCCCAGTCCCACGGCATTTTGGCAGTTTAAAAAAAAAGAAAGAAAGCATATTGGCAGTTTTCTCATCAATTCTTGAAATCAAATTCCACTTTATTTTCCATACATGTGGTTGAACAATCCATACACGTGACAGACATAAAGAGTATCACCTAACCAGTGATATTGTTCAAACATGCATGCATGAATCATATTATTATCATAATATGGCAAAACTTGCAAATATGGAATATTGCAATCCATTACCTTCTCCATATCAAAGAAAGAATGGATTTCCTCACAGTTATCTTGAATGCTGGTAGACAGAATCCATGGATACTTAACCAACATCCGGCCAAAATCTTTGTCCCCTGCACCGAACTGAAAGACAAAGTGGGAACAGATACTCAAATAATGCGTAGAGCAGATGTCAAAAATATACAATGATAAATCAATTTAAGGATATAGTGAACAAGGACACTACAAATACAGAATTATGAAAATTATGACATTCCAATGAAATTGTTCTCTTCTAAGTCCAATAGATGCTACAGAGCAGAAATTCCAACTACTCAAATAACTCTAGCCAGCTTGAAAGTTTCTTCAGAAAACTATTTCTCTATCCTTACAGGGCCTATAGATGTTGCTAAAATTGAACAACGATCTTCGCTCTAGCCAATCTGAAAATTTTATTCGAAACCTATTTCTTTTTTACTAACATCACCATAAATTATCATGGCGCCATCCTGAAACACTGTACAGGTAAAAGTGACTATGACTATATATCATACACTTGGGTACGCTGCAGCTACGTGTACACCCTAAGATGCAAGGACACTTCTAAGAAGGTGACATGTTCATGTTGGACGTTTCTGAGCACCTGTATGTGGCAACATTCATGATCAATACTTGGAAGGTGAGATACAACTTCTTCATAACATGAAGATCTTAATTGCAAGAGATGTCAATTACATGAAAGAATGACACTCGCAACCGATAGATAATGATCAATCGTACACCCTTGATTCAGCCTACCAGCAACTGACCATCAACAAGCATCCAAAATACAAGGTCCTCAGCTAACAGAATAATTACATGGCTTTGTTCCCATAATAAGCACGAATCGAACATAGCAAATCAGACAAGTCAAAAGGTGACTTCATAATAAGACCTGTTTAACATCTTACATACGGAATCTTACTTTCTGAAAAGTCTTCATTCTTGATTTAATATCCTTCTCAACGTCATAGAAAATAATGGGTGGAAATAATAGAAGAATTTTTCTCATGCCTCCTTTGGGGACTCCAATATCTTCAAGAAATCCCACTAGGGGCTTCATACTGCATTCTACAGGTAGCAAAAGAAGGCGTGGAAATGATTCGATGAGACAGCAAAAAGAGGCATCATTGGAACCCAACGAGTCTAGACCTCCACGCCTTGCTTGCATCTGCAACAGAAATTCCAATTATAGAACAAAAAAACCTAGTTAATAATTCCCTGCTCAATAAATTCTAATAAGTTATACTAACCTTCTCAAAAAATGACAAGGTTTGTTGGACATCCTCATCCACAGGAATAGAGAGATGCATCATCATACGGCGAGCATTTTTCCCAATACGTCCTTCATTACTGTCAGAAAAGAATATTTCCTTCACATACTTAACCTATAAGCAAATTGCAGAATAAGAAAAAGAAAATAACACTCTATCCAGCTGATAAAAAGATCAAAATTCATAAAGAAATGAATACTGCATTCAAAAATCAAGGTAGATTCTGATTTAGAATGATTTTGAAACCAGAATTCATCTTTTCCATTTCCGTTCAACAGATAAGATATTTGAATGTCGTGGAAACAGCATCTCAGGTTGCAGGGTAAGGGTGCATACATCTAACCTTCCTCAAACCCCGCAACAGTAGGAGTCCGTGCACAAGGCACGCCCTTAGAAAATTTTTTGAATGTAGAGAGAGCATCAGTATGTTGATAATGAATGTGATTATGAAACAAGCATCACCAAAAATAATAACACAAAGGATTAAAAACAAGTACTAGAACAAAGGGTGTCACACTAGTGTTTTTGTCTCCCATGAGCGCCTCTCTTACCTTGTGAATGAGGTCGGGAAGTGTCTGGGAAGAGAGATAACGGGCAACACGTAAGGCAGAAGACAGCCTGAGGCCGAGACTTTCGAAGAAAGGAAGCAACCCCTTATCGCCTTTCTGCTTCGCCATTCGATAGACCTTCTTTTTGAACGAAGGTGAACTCTCTACGCCACCTTTTTCACCGCTCCAAGAATTCCACAAGGAGAGCTCGTCCAAGTCGCGAACGCCATCGATGACCATCGCCAAGTACTTGGGAGAATTCGAAGCTATTTTAATGGATTCCTCCTTCGAAACTCCATAATCTTGAAGAAGCTCCGACACGGCCTCTCTCGCCTCTGCTTCTTCTTCTTCTTCCTCATTAGACGACGACGATGTATCTCCGACTGCTACAAAGAACGGCGGTAGCGGGCGTGGATGAAAAATTCGATTTTTATGATTGGGAGGTGAGAAATTGTGGGAAGGAAAGGGTTTTTGACAAGGTGGAAGATTGCAGTGGATTGGTGGTAAGAAGAGAAGACGATGATAATGCTTGGCAATGTTAATTGAGACAGTCGAATTCCTTAGGTTTGGAAACAAAAACAAATTCGAAGACATTTGTTACAATTACCTTAACCTAAAACCCTAAGGAAGAACATAAGGTCGGTATACAGATATAAATCATACCTAAAACCCTGTTCTTGCTGCTGCTTTTTTTATAGGGTTAATTGCATCAATGGTCATTGAACTTTATCATTTATTAAATTTTTGTCTCTAAAATTTTAATTTAATTAATTAAGTCTTCAAAATTTTGGGTTTTGAACAAAGTTATCCTTCTCCCCAATTGTCGTCCAAATTGCTAATGCAAAACAACACGTGTAAAAGACAGAAGGACATCACTCTCTTTTCCCCTTATCTTCTTGCCAATCCAACAATTGGGTCACGCGCAATGCACACTGTGAAACATCAAATCTTCACTTTAGACGAGGCAAGAGAGACCAATTTCATTTGTTTAGGGTTCTAAATGAAATTGGAGAAATTGGAGAAATCGGAGAAATTGGGGTTTGCAACTTTGAGGTGCATCATCTTAAGAGAATTGAAGGTTGACAACAATGGCTGAAAAGTTCAATGAGTATTAATTGGAGGATGAAAGTTTTATTAAAGATTATGGTAAACATTTACCGTTTTCAATTTGGTTTGAAGATGACGTTTTGCATTATTTTTTCTTCAAAAAATCGTATTATGGCAACTAGTTGTATGTAAAGAACTATAGATTTGAGTGCGTTTCAAAAAATTGTGGCATGCAGGACCCTAAAAAGGAACTAATATAAAACTGATGTTTATTCTGTGTTGGTTCAGTGGGTCCTTTATGCACTAATATAAACTCAGTAACACGTGGTCTCCTAATTTTTAGTTTTGTGTTGTAGAGAAAAATTCCAAATATTTTACTTTGATATTGCACCATAACAGTGAATTTCGAAAGAACCCTAAGATGGTTTATGATGGGGGTAAGGTTGAATACTTCCACCACAAACACCTAGAAAACATGTCAGTGCTAGAGCTTGATGAAATGGTTAAGCAGTTAAGATATGAGGGGGATATTTTGAGGTATCATTAATGTAAACCAGGAAAGGACTTGAATTCTGGGTTAATTTGTTTGTTTTACGACATACATGTATTCACTATTCTCAATACCTTGCACCCCACCACTGTTGTTGAAGTTTACATAGAACACCGAACAATCGAGGATGTTATTAATGACCAAGACTTCTCAAAAGATGATTTTGGGAATGGACATTCAGTTTTAATTGAGGAGATTAATGAAGATGATGTAGATGAGTTAAAACATAGTCAGGTTACTGAAGTCTCCAAGAAAGGTTGTAGTGAAGTCAATGCAAGTGGTGATGTTGGAGGAGAGGGCCAGAGAAATGACGGTGGAGAGGGCGAGAGACTCGATGGAGGAGAAAACCATGAAGTCAATGGAGGAAAGACCAGAGAGTCAATGGAGGAGAGAACCAGAGAGTCAATGCGGCGACAGATAGAAACTTTGAGGAAAATGACATACTTGAGGAGAGAACCAGAGAGTCAATCAAGGAAAGTGACAATTCTGATTATTATGAGTTTTATGGTAGTGAATATGACACTGACGAGGATGACATATTGTATGATACATATGTGAATAAAGATGTTGAATAGACTAGTGTAGGTGATAAAAGTAAGGGTGTGAAGGGTGATACTTCAGCTTTTCATGGTACAAATAAAAGTGATGTGCATTCTGACTATGCAGATTTAGATGAATTATGTAGTTTTGATGATTCATCTTCAGAGGATGATGGTGTCAGTATGAGGAAGACAAAGTTCCTTGAGTTTAGGGTTGACATTGACTTGAAAAACCTATCTTTCAAGCTAGGAATGTTGTTTGAAACAACAATTAAGTTGAAGGCAACAGTAAGGGAATATGCAATTAAGGATAGAAAACAAATAATATTCAACAAAAATGATCATTTTAGGCTTAGGACAGTTTGTAAAGGGAAATGTAAGTGGTTGTTATTTGCATATGTCATGGAAGATGGGAAAACATTCCAGGTTAAAACATTCAATGACAAGCACATATGTGGTAGATCATTTCACAACAAGAATGCAAACTCAACTTGGATTGCTAATACATATGTGGATGATATTAAGGGGAATCTTGCATGCCTAGTGGATGCCTTCATAGAAAAGATAATGAAGGAACACCAAATTACTGTAACACCTTATCAGATTTATAGGACAAAAAGAAGGGCACAGATAATGATTGAAGGTAGCCATGCAGAGCAATACTCCAAATTGAGTATGTTGAGGAGTTAAGAAGGACTAATCCTAATAGTACAACAACTCTAAAAATGGATGATTTGTCAGAACTGGAAGGTGAGCCAAGGTTTGAAAGAATGTATATTTGTCTGGATGCACTGAAGAAGGGTTTTAGAGAGGTATGTAGACCAATATTGTGTTTGGATGGTTACCATTTAAAAGGTCCTCATGGTGGCCAACTTCTCTCAGTAGCGGAACTGGATGCCAACAATAATATGTTCCCAATAGCATGGTCTGTGATTGGTCATGGTTTCTAAACCTTATGATGCAAGACCTTAGAGTAAGGAACACCATTGGATGGACTATAATGTTTGATAAGCAAAAGACACATTTATTTTTATCTTTTTTTTAATTCTATTCTACATTAAAATACTGTCATTGAAGTGACTTTCATATGTTAGTGTATATAGGGGCTAGAACGTGCAATTTATGATCTGCTTTCAAATGTTGAACATAGAAATTGTGTAAAACATTTATACAACAATTTCAACAAGAAGCAAAAGGGTAAAACACTTAAGGATTTAGTTTGAGTTGCTGTAAGATCAAGTTATGTAAACTTGTTTAAAGTGAATATGGAAAAAATAAAAACTGAAGATGCAAAGTCATGTGCATGGTTTGATGATAAACATCCAAGGAATTGGTCTAAGTCCCATTTTAGCACACATCCTAAATGTGACATATTACTTAACAATATGCGTGAGTGCTTCAATGCTTACATACTTGGGGCTAGAAACAAACCAATCATATCAATGTTGGAAAGAATTAGGGGTCTCCTTCTGAAGAGATTGTATGCGAAGAGNACTTGGGGCTAGAAACAAACCAATCATATCAATGTTGGAAAGAATTAGGGGTCTCCTTATGAAGAGATTGTATGCGAAGAGGAATGCAATGACAAAGTGGGAAGGTGAAATATGTCCCAAAATTCAAGAAATTCTAGAGAAAAACAAGAAAGATGCTTCATTTTGCATAGCATATTATTTTGAGGGTTCTAAATTTGAAGTTAGACATTATTATGGTGATTAGTTTGTTGTGGACTTTGATGCCCAGACATATGCATGCAGAAAATGGGATTTGAGTGGCATTCCATGTTCCCATGCCATTCAGGCTATTGCATACAAGGGGGAATGAGTTTGAGAAAAGTATGTGCATAAGTGATATCACAAAGAGACGTATACGAAACTTATGGGAGCAATATTAATCTCCTTAATGGACAGAAGTTATAGCCTACATCCACTGAGACCCCCCCATTTACCTCCATTTTACCATAAACAACCAGGGATGTAAAAATTGAGAATTTTTTTTTATTAAAAATCCTAATTAAAGGGGTAGAATAGTAATTAATTGTTAAAACACACTCAAAAACATGAATTTTTATAAAATTCAAATGATGAAACGGATCTCATTATTGGATTCGTCTCGCGAAATCTAGCTATGCAGTAAATTTAGAATTCTGAGACAGTTGGATATTTCACGTGTTACAAAGCGATCGGGTGTCGCACGATTAAAATAATTGCGATCAAATTTTATTCGTGGGACCCGAAAAATAATTTAAAGCTAGCTCGATAAAAATATATTAAACTTAACATAAAAAATTTAATTGATTCGGAATAAAATTGGACCCATTAAAAAAAATACGTGTGGCGCAATGAGGGTTACATATTTAAAATACATACAGTGGAAGAGAAAAGTGAGTCTTTTTCTTTATTTTTCTCCTTCCTTAGATCTACGAAGATTGAACCGTTTAATTACTTTGGGCCAAAAATTAAAGTTGCTTTACTCAACGAGAGTTATGCAACCATACCAAAGATCGTATTTTTCTCCAAAAAAATATCAAAGACGAAAATCTAAGCCTAAGGTTTGGGAAGCTAAATTCGGGTTTTCCTTAGAGTTTTACTACGTGGGCTCACGCTACGAGAGATAGGGTTTTTTCCTATTTAGATGTAATTTCAACTTAAAAGATGACATATGAAATAGGTAGGCTAAGAGAGTATATCACATGTTAGGTCTTGATTAGTGTAACTAGTGGATCAAATATAAGATTTATAATTAACCTTGTAATTAGTAAAATTCTATTATAATTAACTTGGTGTAAGTTAATGTTAGTGATTTAAAGTATGTTATTTGTATATTATCATGACTTGATGTTTTAGTGACATATCAAGTTTAATAAAATTATTAGCTTGTTATGTAATTATGAAATAATATTTATGTTTAATAATTATTTAGCATATGATTAATGTGGTGAACTTGTGCTTATGTTTATAGAATTAATAAAAATGTTGTCATGTCGGCAGATGTGACGCCCCAAAAATCGGGGGTCCTTTGTCAATCCGTTGATCATTCATCAACCTGCGGAATACCTGTGGATACCGTGTTACTTGATATCACGCCGTTATGCCCTATTTACCAGAATCCATAATTTAACAAAATTTGGATAGAGTCTCCTTTGTACGGGGAGCTCTACCCAAAAATACAACCTATGTAATCATACAACATTGACCACATCAGATCCATTTATCCATACTCATATAACAACATGCAATGTTACATTAAAATAATCCATGTAACTTTGAATACAATTCTTTTACATATATTACATGCCAAAAACTAAATTACAAGTCTAGTCTTACAAAAACATCATTTAAAGCCACATTTTGGCCCCGATTGAGAGCCTTTCACCAGCGTGAACCCCGCATCTGAAATGTTTTCTCATGTAGGGTGAGTCATGCCTAATAGGATATCTCCTAAAGAGGTTACTCCCCAACCTAGATGCATATGAAATGTCATATGCAATTTCAACAAGCAACATACATTCCAAACAAGAATATTTAATTCAATGTTGAAAATCACCATGTCATGCCATGAAATGAGATGAGACTCACTCATACATTTTAACCCGAACCTTCTTCGGCTCCCACAACACAATGCAATGCCAATGTGTATAAATCTACCATTGATGATATACGTCCAATGATATTTTTAAAATAAACCATATGTCTTTGTTATAAAATAAAATCATGTGTCTTTGTTGGGTAGCGGAGTTTTGGTGTTGCGCCGTCGGTTCCACACATTGATTCAGTTTTCTGAAATTTCATCACAGGAGAGTGTATGAACCAAGTAATCGGGTCTTGCACCTGAAGGAGAATCTAGTCCTGCTTGCTATACCCGACACAAGTTTTTCATGCAAACTATGCGACTTAGTCGAATCTTTGATCCAACTTTTTTCGAGCCCAAATATCATCCACTAAGAATGATGTTTGATCAAACTATGCACACATACCCACCAAATGCGATGTCTCCGTATATATGTAATGTAAGGAACCATATCATACCCCATATGCAATGAATGTCAAACGGGCTAATTTAACCACATTAAATATTTTCATTACAAATTATATCCAAAGCATATAACTTCCATAAAGTCATCACAATGCCAATATTCACATTTAACAACAATTTTTTTCAAACATGTCATACATAATTTATACAATAACACACTTAATTTTCATATAGGCATTTAGTCAAACATCTTCAAGACACAAAATCATGTTATCACATAAAATATCCATAATCATCACATAATCAAAAAATCACATTTAGTGATTTTCACGTACCCAATTATCAAAATTCTAAGAAATCACAATCTAGCAATTTCTATGTATTCAAGTTAAGATAGAATTTATTCTACCCATTTTCAATTCTCATTTCACAANGAATGACTATTTTATAAAACAAAATCATGTGTCTTTGTTGGGTAGCGGAGTTTTGGTGTTGCACCGTCGGTTCCGNAGCAATTTCTATGTATTCAAGTTAAGATAGAATTTATTCTACCCATTTTCAATTCTCATTTCACAATTCACATTTCAAATACAATAGACATTTGTTAAATCAAATTTAACAACCTACCCATTTCATACAATCATCCTAAGTTGAAAATAAATCTAAGTAGGATGAAAACCCTGCCTCTGGAAGCGTAAAATCAACGTAGGAAGTTTCAAGAATTCAACCCAAGCTCTAATCCAAGCTTTTCCAAAATTTTATTTTTTGAATCTTCGTTGAAAGTCTTCGTTTTTGGTATAGCTGCGTAGCCTCGTCGAGAAGATCGACTTTAATACTTGGCTTGAAGAATTTTGACCGACAAAACTCCGTAGATCGTAGAGAGAAACTTTGAATCTCTCTTTTTTTTTCTTTTTTCCCCCTCTTTCTCTCTTCACATGTTAACACACTGTCCAAAAATCAAAATTTTATTCTTATTTATACCCTTTAATGGTTGATGCACGTTGCGCCACACGCCCCCTTTCCCGGGTTTGTTTTCACCCCAAAACGATTAAATTTCGTTCCGGTTCAAGTTTAAAATATTTTATATGAAATTTCTTTAAATTAATTTTTAAATTTCAAAATTTTATTAAAAATTTCGTTTTTGAGTCACCCGAGACCCGACCACCTCGTAAAACGTAAAAAAGTCGATTATCTCAAAATCTAACAAAATTTGTCTGAGTAACTAGATTTTGCAAGAAGAATCCAACAATGAGGTCCGTTTCATCATTCGAGCTCTAAAAAAATATGAGTTTTCAACTCGCACTATAGTGATAAAT